AAGGGTGAATGGACGAGAATAAGGCCTCTCTTTTTCCTGCCCCCTTATGGTGAGAGCACGATTTAGAGCCTCTTTTTCTCTTGCCAAAGAGTGGTAGATGTAGGGTGGGGTGGGAGGTTGGGGAGCGGTGGTGACTTTGGATTTGCTAGTGGGGGGGTGGGAGAAATAAGGAAAATATGGGAAATGAATGTTTAAATTAGATATTGTTGTTATATGAATGTAGAGAATTTATATTGTGGATTTTAAATTTCCTAATATTTTGAAAATCAATAAACATTTAAATTAAAAAAAAAAAAAAAAAAAGATTTAATGCCAGAATGGATCCAGGAAGAACAGGTGGGATTTGTACCAGTGAGGGAAGGCAGAGACAATGGGTTGAGAACTTTGTTGCTTATCCAGAAAGCTGGGAAAGGGAAAACTCCGGCGGTGGTACTTTCAATCGATGCTGAAAAGGCATTCGACAGAGTAGATTGGAGCTTCATGATGGACACTCTGGAGACTCTAGGACTGGGAGTTAGAATGAGAGAGTGGATAAGAAAATTGTATAGAGAGTCCTCTGCGGTTATTTTGGTTAACGGAGAGAGGCCGGAACCTATTGGGATGTCAAATAAAACAAGACAGGGATGCCCACTATCCCCACTGTTGTATGTACTGTCATTGGAACCTTTACTGGCAACAATTAGGAAAAATATGGACATAAAAGGAATACAGATAGGAGGAATTGAACATAAAGTGGCAGCCTTTGCAGACGACCTGTTGTTCTATGTGGGAAATCCTAGGATAACACTCCCAAATCTAATGAAGAGCTTAAAGGATTATGGGGAATTATTAAATTTGAAAAAAAACTGAAATCTTAAATGTAAACCTTCCAAATAGTGAAAAAGAAAAGATACAAAAAGAATTCCCTTTTATATGGAAAGATAGAGAGATAAAATATTTGGGGGTTAAACTCACTGCTCCATATACAAATTTGTATAAATTAAACTATATCCCACTTTTAAATGAGATTAAGGAGCAACTAAAGAAATTGGGAGGAGGTAACCCATCTTGGTTAGGGCGCATAAATCTGATAAAAATGGTAATTGTACCTAAAAAAATATTGTCAGGAATGGACTCAGCACTGGTGGTGGGACTCACCTGCCGTGTTGGCTGCAGTACCAGAGCTGACCAGCGGGTGCTCTCAGCAGCCAGAAGCTCACACCTGCAATCAGCCAAACCTGGGGCTGATTGCAGAAGGTGTATTTAAGGCATGACCAGGCCTGTGATCTGGCCCTTGGTGTATGTTTTCCCATGAGCCCCTGTACCTGGTATCTTGTGTTCCTGCCTCGTTGCTGACCCTGCTTGATCCTGACCTCTGCTGATCGTCTCCTGTTGAACTCGGCTTGTGACCCTGACCATTCTCTGCCTGATCCTTTGTACCGCGCTGCCCGTGAGTTACTGAACCCAACTTTGACCCTGACCATTCTCTGCCTGCTCCTTTGGTACCTTGCTGCCCGCACGTTGCTGACCTGGCCCGTCTGACCACGCTAACTACTCTGCCATCCATCCATCCTGCACGGATCCAGCCGTCCCTGCTCACACCTTCTGCCTCTTCACATCAGGCTTTCTACCTGCACATACCTCTGGCGGATCCCTCTACCACTAGCAGGTGTACTCAGGGGCCGCGACCTGGTTCCTGTCTGCTCCAAGTCCATCCCCACCATCAGGGGCCCTGGTGAATAAGCAGACTGTGACTTAGACTCCGCGCCCTGGGGAATCCTGCCCTGAGGACCGCTAGAGGTACCACCAGGCAGTCGTTACAGAACCCTACGGCCGGCCTGACCATTCCACCTCTCCAGCCCTGACTACGCCTGTGTTCCTGCACCTACTAAGATTAGTGGAAGGTTGGTTTGTTCACTGTGCGTTTATATATATATATATATATATATATATATCTGGGTGGCTAATAATAAACTGTATTATTATACTATACCTGAAACCTGCGTTTCCCTGTGTCAGTCCACACCTTTCTGGTCATTCCTAGATTCCTGACATCACACCAAGGCCCAGATCACAGGCCTGGTCATGCCTTAAATACACCTTCTGCAATCAGTCCCAGGTTTGGCTGATTGCAGGTGTGAGCTTCTGGCTGCTGAGAGCACCCGCTGGTCAGCTCTGGTACTGCAGCCCACACAGCAGGTGAGTCCCACCACCAGTGCTGAGTCCATTCCTGACACCTATATAAATTCCAGATGATCCCAATTAAACTTCCGGAGGTTTTTTTTAAGGTAATTAAAAAGATGATAACAAGATACATATGGAAAAATAAAAAACCTAGAATATCTTATGATTTGTTGAGTAGAAATAAAGAGAAGGGAGGATTGGGAGTGCCAGATTTTAAAAGGTATTATAGAGCAGTAGTTCTAGCAAGAATTTATGACTGGACATACAATCCAGAGGGGAAAAGGTGGGTCAAGATTGAAAATGAATTAAGCGGAATTAAGCGGAGTTAACTTGAGTAAAATCATATGGGTACCAGCACAATATAGAGGATTAAAAGATACCACGAGTGTTTATACATTAAATGTTTTAAAGGTTTGGGATAAACTGCACAAGTTTATGAAATGGGATTTTAATTCACAATTAATGTCACTGAAGAACACGGAGTATTTCCCTCCAGGTAGGGAGGAGAGCACAGGAAAATGGTTTAAAAAGGAGGATATTCAACTGAGGGATATTATGGAAGGGCAAGAATTGAGAACACTTGAGGAGTTGAAAAAGGACAAAAGGTCTCTTTTTATTAAGATAGACGAGTGGAGATATCACCAATTAAAATATTTTGTCGGGAGTCTTCCGAAACCTTTGAGATTGAGAAAGGATTGGAATTTGTTTGAGAGGTTGTTGGAACCACGTGGAGATGGGAAACAGGGCACGGCAAAAGTTTATAAGATTCTCACACACACACAAAAGCCAATATACATAGTAAAATGGGAAAGGGATTTGGGAATAGAGATAGATGAAGACAAACAGAGAAAAATAAATAGACTAACACATGAGAATGTAAGCATGAGAGAGGTGGAGGTAAACTATAAGTCTTTAACAAGATGGCACATTGCACCGAACATTGAAAATAAGATGAGTGGAGGAGAAAATACACTAGAGTGTTGGCGGGGGTGTGGAAAGACAGGTACGTTGTATCACATATGGTGGGAGTGCCCAAAGATTCAAGGTTTTTGGGAGACAATGTGTTAGGAATGGACTTGCCAGTAATGGTGGGACTCACCTGCCTTGTGGGCTGCAGTACCAGGGCTGGCCAGCGGGTGCTCCCAGCAATCAGAGACTCAACCCTGCAGCCAGCCAAACACCTGAAACTGCTTATGCAGGTGTATTTAAGTGATGGCCAGACCTGCAGTCTTTGCCTTGGTGTGTGTGTTTTTCCTGGGCCCTGTATCTTGTAATCCTGCATTCTTGTTCCTGTTCCTGTGTTCCTGCTAGTACCTTTCCTTGTTGCCAAACTCTGCCTGTTCTGATTACGCTGACCCTCTCCTGCTCTGACCCCGGCTCGTTCCTGACCATCCCTCTGCCTGACCCTCTGTACCACGCTGCCCGCTAAACCTGGCTTGTGACCCCGACCATTCTCCGCTTGCTCCCCCTGTACCTACCTGCCCGATTGTTATTGACCCGGCCCGCCTGACGACGCTTGCATTGTATGTACTGTTTATCTGTGGGTGTTATGTTTTAGTATTGCACTGCGTTTATGTTTGTATTGTTAGTGTTAATAAATTATATTGTTTATAACATATCTGAAGTCTGCGTTTCCCTGCGTCAGTCACATACCTCTGGTAATACCCGGGAGCCCTGACATTACACCAAGGCCAATCCTGACCAGAAGTGGCTGCACAGGGAAGCCATCTTGGCTTGTTGCTGGGAAAGATGGATCTTGATGAGGTTGTATATTTGTCGCTGCTGGCTTTTGATGACAGAGACCTGCGTTTACTTGCAGTGCTCCAGTAGTTAAAACCAGAAAAAAGCGAAAATTCTTTCCAACCAGTACCATCCTGCCAGTATCCAAACCGGTCAGCCTGCCGTCTGAGAACCGGCCTTCCGTGGTTCAGCCTGGTGCCTCGGCACCCGCACTTCAACCTGATGTCTGTACCCAGCCTGATGTCTGTACCCAGCCTGATGCCTCCATTCAGCCTGATGCCTCTACCCGGCCTGATGCCGCTATTCAGCCTGATGCCGCTATTCAGCCTGATGCCTCTATTCAGCCTGATGCCTCTATTCAGCCTGATGCCACTATTCAGCCTGATGCCTCTATTCAGCCTGATGCCTCTACCCAGCATGATGTTTCTACCCAGCCTGATGAACTGTTCCAGCCTGATGATCCTATTAGGCCAGTTGACTCGATGCCCGCTGTTGATCCAGACGATCCGGTACCTGATGACCCGGTGCCCGCTGTCATACCTGGTGACCCAATGCCCGCTGTCGAGCCAGACGATCCAATGCCTGATGACCCAGTGCCCGCTGTCATGCCTGGTGACCCGATGCCCGCTGTCGAGGCAGACGATCCAGCGCCAGAAGACCCGGTGCCTGCTGTCGAGCCAGACGATCCGGTACCTGATGACCCGGTGCCCGCTGTCGTGCCAATTGACTCAGAGCCCGCTGTCGTGCCTAGTGACTCGGTGCCCACTGCCTTGCCAGATGACGCGGTGCCCGCTGGCGAGCCAAATGACCTGATGCCTGGTGACCCAGTGCCCGCTGTCATACCTGGTGACCCGATGCCCGCTATCGAGCCAGACAATCCAATGCCTGATGACCCAGTGCCCGCGGTCATGCCTGGTGATCCGATGCCCGCTGTCGAGCCAGACGATCCAGCGCCAGATGACCCGGTGCCTGCTGTCGAGCCAGACGATCCGGTACCTGATGACCCGGTGCCCGCTGTCGTGCCAATTGACTCAGAGCCCACTGTCGTGCCTGGTGACTTGGTGCCCACTGCCTTGCCAGATGACGCGGTGCCCGCTGTTCAGCCAAATGACCTGATGCCTGGTGACCCGATGCCCGCTATCCAGCCAGACGATCCAATGTCTGACCCAGTGCCCGCGGTCATGCCAGTTGACTCGGAGCCCACTGTCGTGCCTGGTGACTCGGTGGCTGTCGCTCTGCCTGGGGGTCCGGCCCCCGCCGCTCTGCCAGGGGGCCCGAGACCTGTCGCTCCGCCTGAGGGTCCGGCGCCCGCCGCTCCGCCTGGGGGCCCGAAACCTGTCGCTCCGCCTCGGGGTCCGGCGCCCGCCGCTCAGCCTGGGGGCCCGAGGCCCGTCGCCCCGCCTGGGGGCCCGATGCCTGTCGCCCCGCCTGGGGGCCCAGTGCCTGTCGCCCCGCCTGGGGGCCCGGTGCCTGTCACCCCGCCTGGGGGCCCGGTGCCTGTCGCTCCGCCTGGTGGCCCGGTGCCTGCTGCTCCGCCTGGTGGCTCGGTGCCTGCTGCTCCGCCTGGTGGCCCGGTGCCTGCTGCTTCGCCTGGTGATCCGATGTGCCTCTGCCCGGAGTCCAGCCCGATGTGCCTCTGCCCGGAGTCCAGCCCGATGTGCCTCTGCCCGGAGTCCTGCCCGGAGTCCTGCTCGATGTGCCGCTGCCCAGAGTCCTGCCCGATGTGCCGCTGCCCGGAGTCCTGCCCGATGTGCCGCTGCCCGATGTGCCGCTGCCCGGAGTCCTGCCCGATGTGCCGCTGCCCGGAGTCCTGCCCGATGTGCCGCTGCCCGGAGTCCTGCCCGATGTGCCGCTGCCCGGAGTCCTGCCCAATGTGCCTCTGCCCGGAGTCCTGCCCGATGTGCCTCTGCCCGGAGTCCTGCTCGATGTGCCTCTGCCCGGTGTGCCGCTGCCCGGAGTCCAGCCCGGTGTGCCGCTGCCCGGAGTCCTGCCCGATGTGCCAGTCTTTGATATCCCGCCAGTTACCAGACCCGGGTGGTGGAACATTTTGCCCAGCTAGGACTGTTTGGAGCATCCTGAGGCCACTCCTTGAGGGGGGGTACTGTTAGGAATGGACTTGCCAGTAATGGTGGGACTCACCTGCCTTGTGGGCTGCAGTACCAGGGCTGGCCAGCGGGTGCTCCCAGCAATCAGAGACTCAACCCTGCAGCCAGCCAAACACCTGAAACTGCTTATGCAGGTGTATTTAAGTGATGGCCAGACCTGCAGTCTTTGCCTTGGTGTGTGTGTTTTTCCTGGACCCTGTATCTTGTAATCCTGCATTCTTGTTCCTGTTCCTGTGTTCCTGCTAGTACCTTTCCTTGTTGCCAAACTCTGCCTGTTCTGATTACGCTGACCCTCTTATGCTCTGACCCCGGCTCGTTCCTGACCATCCCTCTGCCTGACCCTCTGTACCACGCTGCCCGCTACCTGCTGAACCTGGCTTGTGACCCTGACCATTCTCCGCTTGCTCCCCCTGTACCTACCTGCCCGATTGTTATTGACCCGGCCTGCCTGACGACGCTTGCATTGTATGTACTGTTATCTGTGGGTGGTTTGGTTTGGTTCGTTTGCACTGTGTTATGTTTTAGTATTGCACTGCGTTTATGTTTGTATTGTTAGTCTTTAATAAATTATATTGTTTATAACTTATCTGAAGCCTGCGTTTCCCTGCGTCAGTCACATACCTCTGGTCATACCCAGGAGCCCTGACACACCGTTAGATACAAGGTGACTCCAACAACTGACTCATCATCTGACTGGTATATTTCAAAGCGGGATCTCCTCCCTTCCAACTACTCCACTCAAAAACTTATACATGGAATCAGGTCCTTTGGCTCACATAGTCTTCACTGTCTACAAACTATTACTCAAACTAGCTGAGTCTTTTGTCTCCCCATTTCTATTAAAATGGGAAAGATACCTGGGTAGAACTTTGACCCCAAAACAGAGAAAGCATGTGATGTACTTTGTTCATTATTTGTCAGTCACATGCAAATACCAGGAGTTGGGGTATTCACCTGCTGGTATGGGTTCCCACGCTACTGCGAAAAGTTTACCTGGACACCTCAAATTTATGTTGGCGCTGTGGGGAAGAAGAGGGTACCATTGTTCATATTTTCTGGGAATGCAAACAGCTGGAAAGTTTCTAGTGTCAGGTACAGGACAATAAAAAAAAAAAAAAAAAAAAAAAAAAAAAAAAACTTACCGCCTGCATCACTACAAGGAAAGGATGATCAATTTAATCGGTTTTACTAGACATTTTTCATTTTCACAGAGAAGTAGTAGTGGCGGGGCTCTGGCTGAGGAAGAGGGCGATTCCCTTTCACACACCCTCGCACTCATGCCCAAAACCCTTCCCCTCCCCCTCCTTTTTTTTGTTTTCTTTCCTTTTTCACAATGGTAGCTCCATCTGAGGCTGGCTGTAGGGTGTTTTGTCTTAGTTACAAAATGGTTTAGACAAGGTATGGGTTTGCTAGCTTGTTAGGCTGCTTGGAAACGAGTGGGTGATTCTCCCAAGAGATTTACTACCACTGGATATCTTCATGTTCATTCTGGAATTGTCCACTGATTGGTTGTAAGGACATGCCTACATTCTTGTTTGTCTTTTGAAAACTAAATAATGAATGTTAAAAAAAAAAAAAAGTATTCAAAAATATAAAACACTATCCTCACTTAAAAGTTACAAAGAATATAACAGTAAAAAAGGAACTTAAGGCTGCTAAAATTGAGGGTAGGACAAACCCCCCAAAAATCTTCAATAATATTAACGGTAAAAAGGTTATGTCTGAGCATGTAGGCATTTAACAAAAAAAAATCTAGAGTGGGTGACTGGAGACAAAGAGAAGGCCAATGTAAAAAATACATTCTTTAGCTCTGTGCATACTAAGGCGCTCAATGAAGTCTTTAATGTTGATAGTATTGGCATAGACCCATATGATCCACAATGACTCACAACTGACATAGTCCAGAGACATTTAGACAAAATAAATGTGAATACAGCCCCTGGACCAGACAGCTTACACCCAAGTATCCTGAAAGAGTTGAGCTCTGGTATATCTAAGTCATTGTTTCTAAATTTCAGAGACTCTTTAAAGATTGGCGTAAGACAAATGTGGTGCCTATATTTAACCATTTGCCTACTGGGCACTTTCACCCCCTTCCTGCCCAGGCCAATTTTCATCTTTCAGAGCTGTCACACTTTGAATGACTATTGCACGGTCATCCAACATTGTATCCAAACAAAATTTTTATCATTTTTTTGAGACATAAAACTTTGTTTTGGTGGTAATCACCACTGTGTTTCTTCTTTTTTGCTAAACGCAAAAAGACCGAAAATTTGGGGGGAAAAAAAAAAAAAAAGGCTTTCTTAATTTCTGTTATAAAATTTTGGAAATAAGTATTTTTTCTTTTCATTGAAGTGCGCTGATGAGGTGATACTGATCGATGGTACTGATAGGTGGAACTGATAGGCATTTACTGATGGGCACTAACAGGCATCATTGATTGGCACTGATGGCTACTATTAGACTGCACTGATGAGGAAAATCAGGGCACTGATGATCAGTGCCCTGAATATCAGTGTAGATGTCCCCTCTGAGAACTGCCACTTATCGGCTCTCCTCTTTTCATGTGCGGTCAGCGTGAGGAGAGGACTGCTGATAGCTAGCATTTCTTGTTTACATGTGATTAGCTGTTGGACACAGCTGATAACATGATAAAGAGCCTATGTTATTGGCTCTTTACTGCAGTCGGTGCTTTGCTGTGTCCTAGGGACATGGCGCACCACCAATCACAACACCGTGCGCCCCTGGAGGCATGCATGCGTAGCTAGAGTGGGAGGACGTCATAGGATGTCTTCCCAGAACAAGAGAGCTCTCGCCCATCTGTCATTTCCCAATACGGTGGGCAGCAGGCGGTTAAAAAGGGATCAAAGTCTTTACCAACTAACTACAAAACAGTTATTTTAACTTCTACAGTTGGGAACATACTGTAGAGTTTAATAAAAGACCACATAGATGAGTTTTTGAAAAATATCTTTTAAACAATAGTCAGCATGGATTTATGAGAAACCAAAGTTGTCAAGCAAATCTGATATCTTTTAATGAGGGCGTAAGCAAAAACTTAGATAAAGGAGTAGCTGTGGATACAGTATACTTCCCCACACACGGCTAATGTGTAAGTTAAAGTCCACAGGCTCAAAAACTTCAGTTTGTAAATGGGTAGAAAACTGGCTAAAAGACCATATTCAGAGAGTAGTGATAAATGATTCATACTTTGAATGGTCTAAGGTTATTAGTGGTATACTCCAAGGTTCAGTGTTGGGACCTTAACTTTTTTACATATTTTTAAATGATATAGGTTTGGGATTAAAAGTACCATTTCAGTGTTTGCAGATGACACCAAGCTGCAGTGAAAGAACATAACTTTTTTTTATTACTATTTTATGCCAAACTGCAGTTTCTAAAGCTAACAAATTCCTCTGTTGTATTAAAAGAGGTATACACTTCAGAGAGAGAGAATCATCATTTTGCCCCTGTACAAAAAATTAGTAACATTGCAACTGGAATGTGCATTTCAGTTTTGGGCACCAGTTCACAAAAAGGATATCTGAGAACTGGAGAAACTGAAGAGAAGGGCAACCAAATTGATAAGAGGAATGGAGGAGCTCAACTATGAGGAAAGAATAGCTAAGTTGATCTCTTGAGCAGAGGAGATTAACGTGTAGAGTTATTCCGTTTTTACAGAGAACAAGGGGGCATGCTTTACGTCTAGAGGAAAAAAGATTTAACTTCCACATATGGAAAGTCTTCTACACAATGGAGCTGTGAAAATGTAGAATAGACCCCCTCAAGAGCTAGTTCTTGCCAACTCCGGGGGTCAGAAAACAATTTTCCCACTGGAGGAAACTGGATCATGCTTTTTTGGTTTTTTTTGCCTTCCTCTGGATCAACTGTGGGTATAGGATTGTGTATATGGGTGCTTTCAATACCTTTGTCTTGTTGGTTGACTAAATGGACTAGAGTTTTTTTTCAACCCTTCTAAGTAACTATATTGCTAAGCTTCCTTAAGCACCAGGTCCTGATCCTTAAATTGAGAAGCTGGAAAATGGCACCCAGGGGAAGCAGGCATAGTGGTGGGTCCCCTGCACCCCACAAAATAACAGAGGAAAAGGCCAGGCAGCAGAGATACATGATTAGACATCTGTTTTCCTCACCATCTTGGACACGTTCCGCAAGGCAGCCTTTGGCAGCTGATGTAAAGAGGTGTGAACTATGGCAATCTGATGCCACCTCACACATAAATAGATCATTCTATATGAATCACTCAAAAAAGGGGAACAACTATGGGTCCCAGGTTCACCACAAGCTATGCCAACTTGTTCATAGGCAACTGCAAAGAATTCACATTTGGATCAAAATAATTATCTGGAAAGGAGGAGATGACAAGTTAAAAGAGATCATCAAACATTGCAGCAAAAAACCATTGGAAACCGAGCATGTAATAGATACAGAGGCACCATGATCTGAGACACAAATAA